ACACTGGAGAAAAGGAGATGGTGAGAGAAAATTAGAGGATCTGTGAGGTTGGAGGGAGGCGAAAGATAAGAACATGAGTAGACATTACATTCCCTTAAAGAGACCCTTAAAGTTATGATTTACTAATATAACAGTTAAGTACGAAGCGATACGCGCTGTTGGCTGTTTTAGGACAAATGAACAAGAAAGTTAAGCACGATAAATGATTCCTCCGACAGCGATGTGTGTCGGTATTCTATTCCTGGCTTGATTGTCGTCTTCTTTTTCAGTTTATCTTGGAGCTGTGCTGTACGCAGCCGGACGAAAAGGTGATAATGCCACACCTGGAAAGGATCCGCGCTCCTGCCGCCCTGTTGCCCTCCTCCGCTCCTACTATGGTAAATTATATTCAGAATCTCACAACAGCTTGCATCTCCATTTTCAGCACTGTCAACAATTTGTAGGTTTTTTTTTTCCCCAAACAAAAACTGCATTTTCTTTCTGCTCCGCGGCACATTGCTACATTACAGCCGCCACCAACGCTTAGAGGTAATTACAGAATGAATCTTCACAACATTTTGGACTCTGTGCCTTGATACAGATGATATTATCAGGTTTGGGTACTGCTGAAGGTGGCTCATGAAGAAGGTGGGACGACCTGGTCTGAGATGGGGGAAAAAACCTGAGTAATGTGGATATAATTAGTTAAACAGATAGAGGATTGCCTGATTGATTATAACGGTAAAGCAAACGTTCCTAAGATCTGTGTTTGAGTGTAATTTTTGCTATTTTGTCTCCTAGAAGAGGGACGTAAAAATAATGAGAACAGTGGAAAGTTTCCATTCGATGGTTCGCACGCTGCTAACGGACCCAGCCGAGAGAGACCAGTTCTTCAAGGTGAGCCCCTCTCTTGTCGTGTTTTAATTTGCAGCCACGCAGCCGCCGTTGTTGTGATCATTCCCCAGTTGATGTACGTAGAAATGTAACAGCTGACAAATTCTTACTCTCTCTTCTGACAGGAGGAGTTTCCTGTAGATTATGGTCCAAAGTTCGACCAGGAGCTGGAGAAGCTGATGTGGGAGTTTTTGATTCGACTGGACCAGTTGCTTCCGGTTCCCAGCCTGGCTCAGGTAGTGGGTGCTTTTTGTTATTAAAGCTCATCATCTAAAGACACCTGCTGACAAAATTGGACTCAAAATCAATGTAAGTAAATGGGCGTATATCAATAATGTGTCTCCAGACCGTGTCGTGGCTCAGCGATGCCCCCCCTGTGCTGGAGGAGTGTGCGCGGGCGGCCACCCAACCCCAGCTCCTGAAGATATTGCTTGAACATCAAACCTGCCTGGGTCATCTGGAGACTGCAGGTAGAACTAGATCACTTCTTCACTTCTTGCTTGGGATGACTTTGATTTAGATTCCTTAATAATTCTCATTATCCACATGTTGTTGTTTCTCTTTTTCACAGCTTCCCTTCCTCCAAACATGGGAGACTCAATCCTGGCTTCACTCTCTCTGGCTCCCTCTGGAAAAGTACCGTCAAATCAACCGACACTAGCCAATAATTCCGCTGCGGACAAGTCCGATGGCACACAGATAAGAAACGAAAGACCCATTATTACCCCTGTTATCGGACTAATGTCTAATGAGGACGTGCCCGCTCTAATGTCAACCAATAAAAAGACAAACGAGCACTTGGAAGAGAACTTGAAATTCACCGTGGTTAAACAGAGACAGAATCCTAAACACGGCGGAGAACAAGAGGACGAGAGGAACGACTCAAAAAGAAGCAGTGGAATGAAGCGCAAGCAGCCCGATGATAGAGAAAGCGAGGAGGAGGAGGAGGAAGAAGAAGTGTTCATGAACAGACCCGGAGCAAAGAGGTTAAGCAAGAGTTTTAGAAGTGGAGCGAGCAGGCTGGAGCAGGACCGAGGTGACCAGAGGGCAGAAGAAGACGCGAGAAACGAGGAGTGTAACAGAGCAGTCCTGGAAACCCGCGTGGCGCAGCTGGTCGTCAAAAAGTTGCGCCTGCCTGAGGATCCGTCCCTCTGCTCAATTTTTATGTCTTGTCTGAGCAGCCAACCTCGAGTTGTTATTGAAAAGCTGCAAATGACTTCTGTTAGCTCTAACTGCACCGGTAGAGGAGGAAAATCCTTAGACACGAAACAGCAGAGTCGGAGCAAGAAGTCGGCGGTCAAAGCTCCGACACGGAAAAGCGCGAGCAACCAACCGCAAAAGCGTGACTCGGATTTTCTTGGCCTGGATGATAAAGAGTAAGAGACATGGAAATACAGTTACCCATGGGGCAAAGCAAGCCTTAGCCATTAAGTCACGTTTGTGTTCAGCCACTAGCGTAAAAAAAAAAGTGTGTGTGTTTTGGAGTTTGTCAACTAGCTTAGATTAAATTCCTTTTTGATTGAATTATGAATGATTACTTTTAAACTAGTGAACCCTGCAGTTACATGGCAGAACTAGAGATTTTAAATTGACCTCGCAAGAGCATATTTAGATGAATTTGACTGTTTGTATGTATGAATATCATATTCTAAACATAAAATGTTAAATATAAAATAGATTAAGTTACACATTGTGGATACGTTCACTAGCATTGTAGACTGTGGTACTACAAATACAATAAAAACAACTGAATTAGTTCAATGTTTCCAGTTTCATTTGGTTTTTCTGTCTTTGTGAGATAATAGTAGTGATTTTAATTTACGTGTACTCTATACTTTCCTCTTAGAATTGCAGGTCATATAAAGAGAAACTTTAAAAAACTTTACCAGTGAGATTACAATTCAGTCTCACGTGGTTGACTTTAAATTATAAATGCCCCTGAGCAGAGCCCATCAGCACATCAGTAAGCTGCTTGGTTACCACTGACCGGCTATTGAAACTTAACGGTTTAATTATGTTGTTTCTGCTCGACAGAAATCATCCTGTGTTGCCGAGTATAAGCAGTTCTCCATCTCAGCAACGGAGGAACACAGGTGATTTACACAAATCATGTGAATTGAATTCAGGCAATTATAAAATTTAAAAAAAAGATGAGCAACAATGAAAACGCTCACCTGCACAGGTTTTAGTATAACTGTGTTTACTTTTCTGTTTAGAGACGTTGGTCCTTCCAGGAGACGGTGAAGATTACGTAGCTGATTCTGAGGATGAGGCTACGAAGAACTTCAAAGGCAGGGTATGTATTCTCAAAACATGAGAACAACAGGGTTTCTGTGGGCAGGGGAAGTCCTAGAAAATGTGTCCATTTCCCTTTTCAGTATGAGACTTACGTATTTGAGATTTAGAATAAACAAAACAAGAACTCTGGCATTGAAATGCATCCTGATGAATATTCTGTTGTGGAGATGATTTCACCAGGATGTCTTTATGTAACCTGATTGTAGTTTAATCCCTCTATCGTCTGCAGTTTCATGTCACAGTATTTTAAGCCAAGACACTGACAGTCATTGCAAAGTGTTTGTAGGGTGGGTTTCATATAAATATAATATGACAACCTTTAAATAAGAGATGCCACAAGCCGCAGTACATTTTTAAATACTGATGACTTTGTTCTGTCTGCGGTGTTTTCTAACCCACTCTGTCTCCCTCAGCTGTTTATTAAGCGCTACTACAAGACTAAACACGGCACTTACGTTCCTACGCTGAGGGAGTACTGGAAACCTGGGATGACACGGCGGGACTTGTCGTCTGCTGGCAGCAAACACAGATGATGAAATGGATTTTAGCTGCCAAGTCTGGTGTCCACAAAAAAGGACTCTGTGGCTGAGTGGGGGTTTTTCTCCACCAGCTCCAGGGACAAATGAACTAGCCTCTGTGGCTGATGGACTTTTATTTTTATTATGTTGACTTCACTGTAGCTGAATCAGATTGACTTAACATTTGAGGAAGAGGTCATCATGGAAAACAAGCCCTGAGGGGAATTATCACATTAGTGTTAATAAAGCATTATACCAGTATATGTAACTTTTATAAATATTTTAAATCTGCCATATGTAATATACTCAGTTAATAAAGGCTTATTTTGTATGAGAAAAATGTGTCACTGTACATTATCTTGCATTTCATTCACCTCGTTAAAGGTAATTTAACTGCTCCTGGCGTCCAACTCATGCAATGTATGATCTGAAATCTGTAATTAATAATCTGTAACAGTCATATTTATATTTACAGACATCTGCTATCAACCAGGAGCTTTTACTCATTGACTGAAGGCCACTGAAAAATTTATTAGCCATTTATTTAGAAATGTAATTTTTAATTTCTATTTATCAGACGGAGGATAACATTTATTATCACAGCTATCAGAATGGACATTCCCGGTCTGTGGTGTTATTTAGGAATGTTTTACACATTTCAGTATCTTGATTAGAAATCTTCACACAAACAAACATCAGCCACTTACTTAAAAGACCCCAAAATCTTTAATAATTGGTTATATTAAGGTGATATTAAGGTTTCTTAAGCATTAATCTAGTCCAGCTTTAATCTGGCTGTGCACTTCACATGAGTAGTGGAGGTAATCAAAATATAATCAGGACATACTGTATATTTACACTGGAACACACACACAATCAAATGCAAATGTGATATTCAGAGTCGACATGCCATCCCTCCAGTCACTGTGATGGTCTCTCCAGTGATGTAGGAAGCCTCCTCAGAGCACAAGAAAGCAATCACTCCACCAATTTCCTCCGGCTCTCCAATTCTAAAAGGGAAAAACAAAAGGAAATGTGAAACATGCTGTATGTGTGTATGTGTGCCTAGTACGGTATATTAGTGACCATGTGAGTGTGAGCTGTACCTTTTAATGCTGAGCTGCTTTTTGAACTCATCCATGATGTCTTCGTTTGACCATAACTGAGTAAATGAAAGACAACTCAAGTCAAATGTGATTGTGTAAGCTCATCAAAACATATGAGAACACAGGATTTGAGTGTATGTCACAAACAGTGTGTTTTTCCTCCTCACCGCAGAGCTGAAGCGGGTCTTGATAACACCGGGGGCCACGCAGTTGACTCTTATGTTACTGTGAGCCAGCTCGGGAGCCAGCGCCCGGGTCAGACCCAGCAGTGCTGTCTTACTCACACTGTAAGGACCCAGGGCCTGCAGAGACAGAGACACAGTGTCCATAACACACACACACATGCACACTGCAGCAAGTGTTACAGAATTACAACAAAACAAGCCAACTGTTAAAAGAAACGTAAAACCCCTGAATACCTGCAGTCTACATATATTACCTCGAATTTTCACCAGGATAAATGGACATTATTTTGGAATCGCAGTCTGCTTTTGTGTTGTTGTTTGGATGTTTCTATGATTTTGTGTTGAATGCACCTCAAAATCATTTCTACAGCTTACAGGTGGATTTAACATGTTTTTAACCATATGTTTTTAACATATTTAAAACCCACTATTCCACAGACGGCTAGTACTATGTAAAGCTAAATGAATATTAACATGTAAAATATGTATTGTTGATTAAAAGCTCATCTTTTTAGAATCCCCAGTCGTCAAAATATTAACCTTAAGTTAAAACCTTAAAAATATGGTGTCTCCTTACCTTCAAGGCAGTCTACAAATTGGTGCTAAATATATACGGGTCTAATGAGTGGATCGTCCACAAAAGTGGGGTGGTAATTAAAGACAAACACACTAGTTTAAATGCAGGTCTTACTTTACAGCATGTATTACAGGAAAAACAACTCTTGACTCATGGACTTGACTCAGTGTAGCTCAGCGTAATGGTAAGAAACAAAGTCAAACTAAGTTAGTTAACACTCACATACATCTTTTCTATCTGCTTATACTCTCACTGACCTGCATTGGTTGGTATGCTGCCACCGATGACACAAATACCACATTCCCCCCTCTGGAAGAAAAATACAGATGCATCAAATATACAGCGGAGAGGTTTATGCCCATTTCTGACAAATACTTGTCAGATAAGTTGCCACTCACCCTCTCTTCACCATGTGAGGCACCACTAGCTTCGTCATGAGGAAGGCTGATTTCACATTTATAGACAGGATCTAGAAAGAAATGAAGGAACAGTCTCACCAAATATATCACTTTCACGTCTAAAATGATCCCTCTGTTAAAATAAATGAAAGGAGGGCGAATAATTGGAGCCACAGACTCATCTGAACACTCATTTATTCTTTACTGACTGTTACTTTATGTGTAATGTTGTATTTGTAATGTGTACCTTGTCCCAGACGTCCTCTGTGGAGTCCATGATGTTTCCAAAGAAAGGGTTGACTGCTGCGTTGGATACCAGGATGTCGATGCCCCCGCACTGATCCAGAGTCTATTCCAAACACAGAAGGAGACTAATTATTTAACTTATGCGTCAAATGAATTACAGACAACCTCATAATTACTGAGTATGCAACTCGAACTTGTCTGAGAACCACATACAGGTTGATACAAATTAAAAACATACTCACCATTTGAACCAGTTTCTCTCTGTCTTCTTCCTTGCCAACATTACACGTGGTCCCAGTCACTTGGATGCTCTGGCTCTTCAGCAGTGACACAGCCTTGTCCACGTTGGCCTGCCGTCGGCTGCTCACCACCACGTGTGCTCCTCTCTTCCCCAGAGCCTGAGCTGCGGCTAGACCGATTCTGAGGAGGAAAGGAGCATCTCAGTAAAGGATCAAGTGTGTAACAGCTCTTATTATCATCAGTGTATTGTAGCTGTGTTACATGATGTTCTTATTTATATGTATAGAGAGAGTTTGTCTGCTGGGCTTTGTTCATAAGATCACAAACTAGTGTAGATTGCTATACCTGCCATTTTCTTACTGTTCTGTGTATTTCAAGCCAGTAGAGACTTTAATCGTGTATTTCTTACCCATCTGTGGAGGCAGTCACTATGGCTACCTTTCCAGCAAGGCTGCTTTGAGACATAGTCCTTTGGCTGGCAACAGGATTGGTCCTAAGGCACCTGAATACACTCCTAAACATCACCTGTGAACAGAGAATGGCCACACATATCTTTTAAAGAAAACACTGGGTAACTAGGGCAGAGGTCATGTGGACTTTGACAGCAGCTGTGCACAAGCTGAGTGCTGAGAGATATAGTGAAAGAAGTTGGGAAGCGCTTTTATAATAGTCACTCAAAGTAATAACACACGTATTGATCCACGGTGACTCTAAATCAATGATAAAACATTTGATCTTGGACAACTTTATGCACGTTTAAGCTTTTACGCAGTGGGCTACATTGTATAAGCAACTAATGCAAACATGTAAATGTGATCGGGAGCATCATCTCACCCTGCAGTTCATGCAAAATTGATTGAATGAGGTTGTACAGAGGTAGAATTAGTCAAATGACCGGTCTGGACCTTTGACTACCGACGATCCAAGTGCTGCTACAGACAGTATTTTCCGGGTAAGAGTACAGCTGTCAAAATAAAAGCCCTCAACCATCAGCCCAACGCTGTACAACCAAGCCCATAAAAAAACAACCATGCCATTTGTTTAGAGAATATAGATTTAGTCTTTTTTCAGTACCGTCCGATGATAGCAGCACTTTCGGGCACACGTTTTAGTTTAGTTTTTCCTCAATTTACAGCTTACTTTTCGGTGTGGGGGGGGAAACTGCCAAATTCGGATGTCTTTAAACGCAACCCACAAAAAAAACCAGCCAATCACGCACAGGCAGCGTCCTCCGAGCTGCGGGCAGCCACACGATCTCACAGAGGGTGGATGGGTCTAAAGAGCGGCGTCGACACGCACGTTACGTTGTCAGATCAGCGCACTACGTAAACCTCCGAGGAGGCGGGGCTAAATGTTGTTGTCATCGCTGAAGATGATTGAACGCCGATGGCCACAGATTTTTCACGCCTGAAAAGAAGTGATTTTTTTTTTTTTTTTTTTACGTATCATGGACTGTACGCCGATGTGAAGTTTGTCGGCAGTGAGACAACAAAAAAAGGAGAAGGTAAGTGTTTTATGAAGGCTGCTTTTAGGCTTTTAGGTCTGCTGTAGCGGCTGAGACCCGGCGGTGCCATTGTTGTTGTGAACTGAACTTTAGCAGCGAGAGGCGATGGGAGACAACCAGCTAGTGTTAGGAGCTAGGCCGCGACAACACAGCCGGCGTTACTCTCAGAAAGCCACTGTTCAAACCAGCCCCCGTTTAAAACGAGCGGCGGCTACACGCTGAACTGTAGGAGACGTGTGTTTGATACCCGCTTATTTATCCACGATGCTAAGCTTACGTTAGCTTTTTCGCCGAACGGGTTGCGTTCAATGTCACGTTACTGGGCGTGGAAAGGACAGACAGGTGTTGCCAGCCTGTCTGCCTGCCACAGCTTTTCATTTCACGTGTGTCCTGTAACGTTGTGAGTTGAGGTTGGTGTCGGTGTTGTTGTTTTGTGTGTTTGTTTTTTTTTTTTTTTAATTATAAATGAGTATTTAAAAAGGCGTTTCTGGGCGGATTTGCAGGATCCTTATGAAGGCGGAGACGACGAGGCGGCGCTCGGACTTGGAGATGTGTGCTGCCCAGACCCAGCTGTGCCTCTGCACCCAGTGTCTCTGGCGACCCACACGTCCACGGGAACCACAGCTGATCTAGATGGATGACCCCGACTGACCGGGACCCCTCGAGTTATAGTTTCTCAGAGACATAACTGTTAACTTCTAGCGACAATGTCTGTCTCCGTGAGTACAGCAAATGTCTCTTTTGTTTGTTTGTATGAATCTGTGTGTGTGTGTTTATTGGGATGGTGTCAAAATAATGGACACGTGTGGTCTAAGATAACTCGAAACAAAAAGCGTATCATTTAATGTTTTTACTTGTGTTTATTGGCCTCACCATATCTGTTTTAATCAGGATCCTCATTGCCTCCATTACTGGTCTGAGGGGGTCCCACATGGCGCAGTGGAGCCTAGTTGTCCCCAGGGGGTCGGTTTGGAAAATAAAAGGGGGCCTGACTCTCTGGCTTTGGGTTGGCAATTAAGTCCTAAACAGCAAGGGACAGATGTGCCTCTCATCCCCTCCCCCCTCCCTCTCATCCCGCTCATTACCATTAAGCCCTTGTGTCCATTTGATCATTGATCCTCCCTCACTGTGCCTCTCTTTCTCTCTGCTTCACCGTCACCGACACAGCTGTGAATCTCAAATTCGTCATGATGTTATGTTTTTTAATTTTGTTTTTTTTCTGTGTGTGTGTTCACCCACCATCTTCCCGTCCCTCGTCCCCTCGCGCGGACCTTTTTTTTACGAGATCTTCCCCACTCACTCCTATTCACTCTCCATTCAACTGCTCTAAACAATAAACCTTTTTATACTCCTGACTTGGCGTTGCCGTGTCAATGTAGTTGGTTGTTTGTGGCGTGCAGATGTGAGACACTCGCTTGTGTGGATGTATTCTTGTCGATTAAAACCTACTTTCGCGTGGCCCATTTGGTGTGTGATTTACTGAATGAGAGGGCCCGTGTATGATTCCTACTCTTTCTGTCGCACTCTTTCTCAGACTGTATTGGCAAAGGCGCTGTTCGACAACACGGCAGAGAGCCCGGAGGAGCTGGCTTTCCGGAAGGGTGACATCCTGATGGTTCTTGAACAGGAGCAGGGTGGCGGTCCGGGCTGGTGGCTCTGCTCCCTGCATGGCAGACAGGGCATTGCCCCTGCCAACCGCCTCCGACTCCTCCAGACTGCCCCACCCCCAGGCTCAGACCTCCGTCACGGCTCCGTTGAGGACTCGGTCTACCTGTCGCCTGGTTCCCCACTGGCCCGGACTGCTGTCAGCAGCAGCGCAGAGGACATAGATGGAGTGTACCGCTCCCCGCCAGGTGTGGGCGAGGGACGGGGAGCTGGAGCGGTCTCGAGGCCCGGGGAGCTCCGAAGAGTTGAGGGTGGGCGCCCACGCTCGCACTCCAGCTCCGGCACGCGGCCCAGGCCTGACTGGGACATCGGGGCGGCGGGGCGCCCGCGCTCACCCTCTCTGAGAGGACGCGGCACAGACGTGACGGGATCACTTTACCAGACTCCAGTAAGTCCGATGCCTGTAGCAGCTCAGCATGCCAGGCAGCCAGGAGCTCTCATGGCCTCAGAGTCCGTGTACCTCGCCCCCACTGGAGTGCCGAGGGCAGCGGATGAACCAGAGGACACTACATATCTAGTCCCCAGAGAAACACTAACAACAGACGACTGTTACTTGGTGCCCAAAGGTACACCGCTCGCAGGTGACGATGTTTACCAATCCCCAACGGGAGGAGTTGTGGCCACCGCTGTCTGCTCTAACGGCCCCTCCATAGTCTGTGGATCACCCAGTACGCCTCAGCCAAAAGTGAGCCAGGACACACCAGGGATGTACCAAACACCCACACCGGTGGGAGCGAGCCTTCACAGGACGACAGCTACAGTTTTGGCCCACCAGCACCCATCTCAGTTATCCCCTGCCCAAGCGTCCCCCAGACCTCTGCTCAAGGGAGTGTCACCCAACAATGCTGTTGCCAGGGGAAAACCCGGCCTGGCCTCTCACCGAGGGTCCCCTTTGCTGGTCAGAGCAGGGCAGATCAGGGTTCCTGGATCACCAAATTTTGCTCGCAAACCTCCTCCACCGGCACCTCCTGTGAGGGGAGTCACCAGAAAAGATGCACAACAAGCAGCGCCACCCTCAGCTGATTCTAACGCTGCCCCCAAACCCACTGCTCAGGTCGCTCCTTCAAGCCTGCAGCAAGAAGTGGACAAACAGAGGGGAACTCCTCAGAGTAAAGAGGACAGGACGCATAATGGCCTGGAGAAAATACGCAATGTGCAGAACAAAAAGGGAGAAAATCAGGATTACTCGGATGCCGTGGATGAACAGGTATGTGACGGCTGCTTCTCTTACCGCACTGTTGAAACATTTGCCCTGCCTAGAAAAGTATTATGTTGTGTAGGTTCATATGGATTTACTTGTTTCCTCAACATGTTTTGACCTGGAATCATAATTTGGTTTTGTGCTTTCGTTGTCTTGGTAGGTGTATGATACTCCTCCCAGTGGCAGGTGGCAGCGTCCAGTCCCGTCGGGCCTTGATGACAATGATGGCATCTATGACACCCCTCGCTATGTCCCACCACAAACCGACTCTGAGACGGAGGTAAAGACAACAGTTGGCAATCTTTACTGAACCACAGATCGTAAAACAACCTGTTTTCTAAAAGGGAGTTTTCTTTTAGGTTTATCTTGTCCTGTTTAATCTCCTCTCACAACAATAACTTCCATAAGTTGTAAATTGAGGGGAAGGCTTTAAACACCATCTAAAACATTATTAACTACCATGTGTATAAGCTTTCATACAGCGAAGAAAAAGGGGTTTAGTGAATAAAGAAAGTTATGGTTTACCAAAAATGATCTGTGAACTGTAGCAAACCGTTGATTTCATGTCTGTACAAGTAAAGCGGTTCACTAACAAGAGATGACTATCAAACACCCTGTCACCATTTCTTCCCACATACCAACATCCTTCTGCGTCCCTGCCCCCCTTCAAGGCGAGGCCACACCTGTCTCTGTCTGCTGTGGGAGCCTGTCTATCCAGTCCAAATGCTGCTGCTATTTTCTCTCAGTCACACCCATCTGTCAAGGCCTTGTCAAGGCCATAGTACCACCAGCACCCTTCCCCCAATGGTCCCCCCATTAATGTTACTTGGATATGTCTGCCAGCTGTCGGATTATTTTTTTCCTCTTCGCCTTTTAGATACTGTATGTGGACTGCAGACTCATTGCTCTGACACTTGGCTGTTGAAGAGGACAAATGTGTCTCTGCCCACTTTCATTCATTCAGCCTGATAACCCATGCACATGCAAGGTTTAAAGTCTTCGCAACTCACGGCACACCACACTGTATTGTTTCAAACTCTGCGTAGCTACACTACTGTGGATGAAGCTGGCCTTACATGCAGCACTGACACAATGACCTCATACGGTGTTATGGTACAACGAATACATTGTGTCCCTGCTCATATAAATGATCCTCTGTCCGCACAATCATAACAACACGCACAATTTCAAAACATTCCTTCTGTCTTCTCCCCAACTTGTAGGTCTATGACGTCCCCACCATCACTCTGAATGTGTCCACCTCAGATGTCCAGCCTGATGAAGTTGACGACGATGTATACAGTGTCCCAACCCTTCCTGGTGTGCCTCTGGGCCCAGGGGAGTCCACCACTAGCCTCACCGGCGAGGATGCTGGACAAGTGTATCGCGTCCCCGGACCTGAGAAACGAGCCAACGGCGGAGGTCATAACCGGGACTCCTCGGAGCCCGACTGTGGCATCTACGACATGCCTGCTTTGACTGTCGACGTCCTCCCTCACTCTTTGTCATCCTCCTCCACCTCTACTCGCCGCCTCTCCGTCTCTAGTAACGGTTCCGGTGACGTGCAGTGGAGAGCCTCGCTTTCGAGCCTCGTTCACGCGGTGCTGAGCACAACCTCCTGCGCGGCCTCCACTCTGTCGTCACGGGATTTAGCCACCTCGCTGGCGGAAATCCTGTCCACCTGGAAAGCCAGTCATTCAGATGATCCCCCGCCACCTCTTCAGCAGGCGTGGGCTCGTCTGTCGGACCTTCTGCCGGCGCTGTCCGCCGTTGGCAACGATCCTCCATCTGAAGGGCTCTTGTTGCTGGTCCAGCGGTCCCTCGAGGAAAGCGCCCTCCTCTTGCAGGCTCAGGGCCGACCCCGTCTGCCTTCCCAAGACTCGCTGTCCCGCAGGCCATTGCCCGCGCTCCCAGTGCCTGACGGGAAGTCTTCAGGAGGTGGGATGGGCTCCCGTAAAGGTAGCTGGATCCAGGAGAGGCCACTGCCCCCAACCCCTCAACCCGCCTTCCCCTTGCCCCCGACTCCATCGACGGTGACGCTGACAGTGGGCCCTGATGATGGAGAAGATGACCCCAGCAATGAGTACGCAGGGATCGGCTTGACCCCCATCCCTGCCCCAGTGCCCACTGGAGACAGTGTCGGATACGTCAAGCTGCAGGTTAGTTTTCATGATGAAATGAATTTATTGTTATGAATCATCTGTGTGAAACATCTGACTTTTGCAGGCTACTTTCAATTAGTGTTTTTTGTGCTTCAACAACTCTGTACCTTTGCTGGTATCTATTCTTTCTTATCATGAGTGCACATTACAAAACAGCCAAACATGGATTGTAAAATGCATCTGTAAACATTGCCTGATGCTCTCCTTCCCACACAAGGGTAAACCCGAGCCACCTCCTGACGCCCTGACTGAGAACGGACAAACTCAAACTATCACTGCAGAGCCAAGAGTGAGTCTCTTCTTCTGTATTTATATATACATTTATATATATATATATATATATAATCCTTCTACGATCCTCATTCTTGAGCAGTTTCTGTTGTACAGAAACACGCAGCAAGTCTGCACAGATAAGTCATTGATTCACTCTGTGTTCACAGTGCGCTCTGTTTACTAATGAGCACAGTGACTCATTAATCCAGCTTGCAGCAGCTCTTTGCCTTCTGATGTGGGTCAAAACCTATCTTCAGTCTACGCTTACTACGCTTACCCAAAGCCACCTGACTTAATATCAGATTAACCCCTGTTGATTTCTGTCTCCATGAGGCATGGCACCATCCATCGTGCACGGAGATTGAGACAGTGTGTGTGTAACATTCAGAAGCTTTCATTTGAATCCAAGGCCAACAGCTGTTGACTTGTAACAACATACATTAGCAATATTTACAATCACGTATTGTTTTGTGTTATCTCTTCAGTCAGTTTCGCCTTCTGTTGCTTCAGACTGAGGTCATGTTTTATCACTCAGTCTGCATTTTTTCTACTCCCTGCTCGATTGCTTGTTTACGCCATAGACGTCAAACAAGAAGTCACTTGTGAATCCTCACAATCTTGCCTTACATACAATGGAGACTTCAGGACAATAAGTGACAGAAAAGCATTAATTCAAGTCATTCCTTTAACAGTGCCACTGGCTGACGTACTACATGTGTATGTGTCTGACTCTCTCTGGCTTTTAAGTTTAGTTGTAAACACTTGTCTGACTGCACACGTCCTATACTACGTAAACACATTTATACACCTTCTGTGGCCATCAGTGAGAAGCAAACCTCACTTATTATCTTCTTTTCTTATTTCTGTTCCTTTCCATTCATTTTGTTATGTTATAGTACACAATATTTAAAGCAGTGACATATTTGACTCTGTGGCATGACTTTCCTTTACAAATACTAATTTCACCGTTCCTCATACAGTTGGCCCCATCACCCGCTCTACCCGTGTCCCTCTCCCTGGAGGACTCGGAGCTGCTGTCCTTTTATTCCTCTCAGAGCCTCGCTCACCTCTCCTGCCTGGCAGACGCCATCGATGTGCTCTTCAGCAGCGTGCAGGGGAACCAACCGCCCCGCATTTTCGTGGCCAGAGGGAAGAGTCTCATAGTGACAGCACACAAGCTGGTGTTCATTGGGGACACGCTCTCCCGCCTTCTCTCCTCTGCCGACCTCCGGGCCAAGGTATGTGTATGATGTTATTTGCGTGAAGTCATGAGACACAGCTTGTATGCCGAGAAAATAATGCACAGATCATAACCGTCCTGAGGAGGACAAACATGCTTTTGTCATAATGGACAATAACAGACAAAAAAACGTGCATTAATCCTGCTTTCATTTCTTCTCTGTACTAAAGATCACAACCTCGGGGGGACGACTCTGCCAGGCCTTGAAGTCAGTTGTCGTTGCAACAAAGGGCGCTGCACAAAACTACCCGTCAGTATCCGCCACCCAGGAGATGGTGGACCGCGTGGCTGAGCTCTCTCAGCAAGCAGCTGGCTTCTCCACTCTGCTCCAGCGTCTGGCAGAAATATCTTCATGATATTTCATATCACTTGCTTAAAAACTTTGTTTACACTACACGTATATTTTCCCTCTTTGAAATGCCTTATTTGTTGTCAGAATCTCTCGTTACCTTTTCGTTCGAATGGGATTGAAGCAAGCGAAGTTGAATCCAGGAACAAGTGTTTAGCCTTCGCTGCAGCTGTTACTAAGCTGGGTTTTGACTGTGTTGGTCCTGTTCTCCAAGTGTGTGTTGGTTTGCCTTTGTTTATATACTGACCTCTGTACTTTGACACCAGGCACACTTGTCATTTTGAGTGTTAACTTATTGAATATTTTAAGCCCCGCCATGGCTTTGAGTGTCCGTGGGGACTGCTTATCTTGGGAGCTTTGCTTTATTGTGTTTTGGCATATTTTCTTCTATTTTCTTCCCCTCATATGATAGCCACTTCCTTCCCTCCTCTATTTATTTAGCCATCCCCCTATTCCAAAAATAGCACAGAAGGAGGCCTTACATCCTGGTTCTGGCCTACTTTTTACTGTGATACCTGAAAGGCCTTTTGTGATTATCATTCTGAGGCTGTTGAAGAAGCATATCGAGTGTTTGGGGCTTAATATGGGAGAAACGGAATAGGGTGTGGAGAAGGAAGCTTGCCCGACTTCCATTCTTAATCTGTGCAAGTATGTGTTGTGTTTTGTGTAGTACCCATTTCCACTAAAAAGCAAAGATTAACTGCAGTACAGCGTGTAATCCACTGCCTGAGGATTACAAGAATCATCTCTCAACACATGTCAGTTTACATTCATGCAGTCTTACACACCTCATGAAGAAAAACAAAAGCCTACCAGACAGAGATAATATCTGAGAATCAATACAGCGACTTGAGAGGGAATAATGATAGTTGCGTGGGAAAATTGCCTCATCCTGTTCTCTCCCACAGTCACGTGGTAGCCTGGAAATGGATAATAAACCAGTTGACCGAGCTCACCTGTCTGCACACGTCTTGTTGTGATCTGCATGCTTAAATTGCTTTGAAATTTATTTCCTGCAAGATGTTGCAAGCTGCTTTGATGGTTTCATGTCGGCGTACGGTAGACACTAAGACCAGGTATTATATACATATAATTCAGTAATAATGTAAAGAATAGCAGTGGAAAAAACCGTTCACTGTATTTGTACTAGAGCTTAACCATATCGCCTAGCCCTAGTAGAAACGGTAAAGTCAAGCACAGCTCACTTGTTGATTGAAATGGGACAATTTTGTGTTTCAAATCCAACAAAACGAAAACCTGTTTTCTGTCTCAGACCACTGTATTACTTTCTCACCTCTCATTTCATGTATACCAGTCAATCGGATGCAATATGTGAGTCTGGAAGACTGGACGTTAAACAAACGTGAGGTTTCTCACATGTACACTACAAATGTTAACTTGTAAACACCAGCTTCGTCTTTAGGGTGCTCTACAAAGCTTGATTATACTACTTAAAAGTGTTAAGATCTATCTTCTGTATCGTCAATCATGTTTCTTAACTTTATATTCAAGTTTTATTTTTCAGATTCAAATCACCAGAGCACTGCATAATCAGTTGTTTGGCTCAGTTTAAATCATTATTTGAAGAATACTCTTACTATCTTCCTGCTTTTACGTTTTCTCTGCTGCAGTGACACCTTGTGGGGGTTTGAAGTATTACTTAATAAATACCTGCCTGCCAAAACAGGCTCTATACTGTATGTATGAGGAGAGCATGATCGGCAAGTAACCTTTAACTCTGTATTTATTATTGTCAATTTTTTGTTCTTTGCTTTCCAGTTTGCATGGCTTTAATTTGTTCAGATTTTATATATGCACATCCTTCACCTGGGGTGATTTTTCTGGGTAATTTACAACGAACAAAAGTTTTGTTTTTTGCTTCCGAAAAATATGTTACAGTTCAAAGATACGGCTGTATTTTCTTTTGTACAAGAAAGTTTTTTTACACTATGTGAACTCAGTTCTGAGTCTGTTATCCGTATTTGCTGAGGTATAGAAGTGAATATTTGATTTCCTCCTACAGTAAGAAGACCTAAATCTCTTTTACTTTTAACACTACATTTGATGTCTGTCTTGTATTCCTGTTCAGAATGCACAAATACATCTTTTGCAATTAAACAAATGCGTTTGGATCATTGATTTCACTATTAATCTGTCAAGAAATGTTATTTATTGTCTCTATTTGCTGTGCCCAAAAATAATTAGTGCATGTTTTACTCCACAGACCTTAAACTCCAAATAAAAACCTTTTATTTTTGTATTTAAATCGCGTTGCTATGGGCCTAAACTGGCCCAGTAATGTTTTACAACTGTCACAGTGCTGTTACGCGATTCGGACAAACCGAGCCTTTCCGGAAACTGCCGAGCTGTGACGCCGAGCAGCAGCCGTAGCGACGCTTGTTGGGGAGTTTAGACAAGCGGAGGGAGCAAAATGGCGGACGAAGATATTACGCTTGATGGAAAACCTCTACAATCGCTCCGAGTCGCGGATTTAAAAGCCGCCCTGGAGCAAAGAAACCTCCCAAAGAGCGGGCAGAAAAACACACTCATTAAACGACTGAAAGGGGTAAGTTTCTCGCTTAAACCACGGACGCCTGTCGAGTCTGGCCAAGTTGAGCAGCAGGCGAGAGACGGTGGGGGTTAACAGTAACGTTAGAGGCCGTAACGGTGTGTGGGCTTCGGGAAGCGGGAACACATAAACCGCCCGGCACACGTTAATACACACAAACAACTGGTTTTCTCGCCGGTTATCTGTAACTGGCGCTACGACGAAACTACCCACCGACGGAGTTCACACTTTGACGTGCAACTACTCGCCGTGCACCGTGTTGCACACAGTTGAACTGTGCACCTGTCAAGTCGAGGCCTAAGCCGAGTGTAAGCAAGCGAACAGCCGCACATAGTGTACAGTACGCGGCCGTGACCGCGCTCCGTGTGTGTGTGTGTGTGTGTTGGTGGTTTACGGGGACGCGCGTCGCGATGTAAACACACATTTTTACGAGCCTCACCGGCGGAGTTGTTTGTTCGGTTTTGTTTTTAAGTTGTTTTTTTTTTTTTTTTTTTATCGACGTTGTTGTTTTTGGATCATCCAGCACATGAACGAGCTTAGGTTTCAGGGCCGGAGCTAGGATTTTTATTAATACCGAGGTTATGAGTGCCCCCCCTCCCCCCCCTGTAGTAAAAATGTTACCAAATATCGAGTATAAAGCATAAACATTTCTTTTTCCATCTTTTAAACGTTTCTTTTACTTAGTTAAGTGTTATTTTACGGTGTTTTGTACATTTTATTTTTCAAAAATAAAATAAAAAAATGCAATAATTGTGGGGAAATAACTTATTATTTTGTTTATTTGAACGAAAAGTGGTTTGTAGTTGTCTGAAATGTGGAGTAATTATTTATATTGTGAAAACAGTGGACGTGGCTGAGAGAAAGGAGTGTAGTTGGTATGGTTTGCATCTTAATCACTAAACCAGCAGAACATCTCTACGTAAAGTGTGTTAAATGTTACTTTTCTGGATTTAAACATCCCATATTTCCCAGAAAAAAAATACAGAGGACTTAAATCCAAAACAGCAGAACCTTAAACAATGCATATCAACTTGTACATCACATCTCGGCTCACAGTATTGTGCCATAGACAATGATATCTGCTGTTGGAAATGTATTGACTACACTAAGTTTACTATAAATCACAATTGAGTTCCACCGTCATTAAAGTTTCTGTAGGTGGAGACTGGAGACCGGTGGTTTGCATACAAAGTGATACCACACAGGCAAGTGTTGGGCCAGCGTACAACTAAACCAAAGTCTGTCAAGTGTGTAAATGAGGCTGCACTAAGGGCACTTTAATTTAAATAAACTTAAATTTGATTCAGGACGACACATAAGGTATTTGCAACTGTCGACTTTTTTAATCTTTATGTGTGAGTGTAAATTACTGATGTTACGACTCTGATTAATAACAAAAACATCATATAAAGTGTCCTGTTACAAATAAAACATTATTTTTCTCATTTCAAAAATGCCATTGCAGAATACCTGCTTTAGCTTTTCATAACTATAATTCCTCTTCCTTGTTCCCTGCAGGCTCTGATGCTGGAAAATCTTCAGAAGTCGTCTTCCTCTCACAGCGGGTTGCAGCCCAACTCACAGGTACGAAAAGACCTTTGAAGTTCTGTAGACATGCACAAGTTCCTGTACTTTATTAGCACGAGATCAACCCACAGAATATTCCCTACAAAGGTGGATAAACAGTTCTTAATAAGCACTTGTTTTAACGTCTAATGTGCCGCATCAATTTTGTTTTACTAGCAGTGCTTCTGTAAGGACTGGAGAAATAATAAAGCGCTGTTTTGTGTGCTTGTGTGTTGTAGATAGGTGAGGAGATGAGCCAGAATAGCTTCATAAAGCAGTACCTGGCCAAGCAGCAGGAGCTCCTCCGTCAGAGGCTGGAGAGAGAAGCCCAGCAAGATGAAGAGGCAGATGGTATAACATTCACATGAACACACACACACATCAAAAAACAAACGATACGGAACAATCTTTGTGTCTTTCTCTCCCACAAACGTTCTCTCCCGCTGTGCTGCTCATTTATGTTGTTAAAACATCTGTACTCTTCTAATTTCATGTGTGTTTTTATGAACATGCTCACAAATGCACACTAAGCTGCCGTAATGGTTTATAAAAATACACTTTTCATTCAGAAGTCCTTGGTTGTCGAACCGGTGGACGTGTGTGTTAATTCACGCACTGGTGCTGACCTTTAACCCCTGCCTCATGTCCCTTTCTGACAGAGAGCCCAGCAGTGCCGGAGGAGGATGACGACCACTCAGAGGACAACGACAGCTCTTCCTATGTCTCTGACAAGGTCAGTAACCTCCACACATTGAATAGTCAGAACAGGACACACTGAGCTGCTACACATTGATCAGATAATGTTGTGAAAATCCTGTTTTTTTTCCCCAAGATGATGCTTTTTACATCACAAAATAATGTCAAACCTTTAGTTGTTTGAACAGTGTAGTCATTATAAACCTGGAAATGACTTCTTCTTGCTTAACGGCTGTAAATAACAAATATTTTCTCAGACTGACCCCATTATTTTTGCCCAGCAGCATCGCTCCATACCCACCCAGCCCTCAATGACCAGGGCAGAGGAGAAAGGAGGGCATTCAGTTGTGGGTCACGGGTTGATGGCATGCGGCCCTGATATGGGCCCCGGTCCCACCCTGCACCCGCAGGAGTCCCTTGAGGCTCCAGCAGCTAGAGTGCAGCGAGCCACCTTTCATCAGGGACACAAGGAGCCACCAGCTCCCTCTCCTCCGCGCGCTGTAGCCTCTCTGTCAGTGCGCGTCCTGGGCCAGCCCGACCGCCAGGGGCTGCCCCCCGCTGTGTCCCGAGCCCAGGAGAAAGAGGGCACCGCACCGAGCGAACCGGGGTCAGCTCATCCTGTCCTACACCTTAGCCGATCTGCCGGGGTCTCAGCGGGAAGACACGACCACGAGGACAACGATGAAGATGACAGCAGCGATGATGAAAGCGAGGATGACGAGGACTGGGGGCCCGGTCCTGGTGGAGCACGTAGGGGCAACAGAGCCCCTCCGCAGCCGCAGCAGATGCCCCCCAGTGTCCCATCAACAGTGGCAAGATCCAAACGCAAGCTTCAGCCTCCGCAGCACATCCCACCACCACAGGCTCAACACACGCCAATGCAACTGCGCCACCCTACTCCTCCTCCCTCTCCACCCCCTGACCTATTCCCACTTCCAGATACTCCCAAGCAGAGTCCACCGGACCCGGACGACCAGGAGGGAGAAGGCCCTGGGGCTGCTCGGGGTCCAAGGGCTGCGGCTTTCCCACCTTCCACCATGCAGAGGCAAGACTCTGACTCAAGCTCTCGTTCCAGCAGTCCTGAGCCCCTCATGAAGCGCAGGCCAGGGCCCCTCTCTCTGCTTGTACACAAGATGGAGTCAGAGGGGGCTTTCCGTGCGGTGGAGGCCGCCTCAGCTGCAGATGTGTCGGGAGAGAAGGCACGCTCCGCTGCTGCTGCGTCTGCCAGTTCCAGCGAATCTCCGCTGCAAAAACTGGAGAAAAAGAGGCAACAGGAGAACAGAGAGGTGGAGGAAGAGCAGCGACTGAAGGAAGAAAAGGAGAGAGAGCAACACCAGGAGCAGGAGAAAGAAAGAAGGAAGATACAGGAACAGGAGAGGGAGAAGAAACGTCTGGAAGAAGAGAAGGAAAAGGAGAGGAAACGACTGGAAGAAGAGGAGAAACTGCGTCAGAAAGAAGAGCGAGAAAAAGAGAGAAAACGTCAGGAAGAGGAAAAAGAAAAGGAGAGAAAACGCCAGGATGAGGAGAAGAGAAAAGAGGAGAAACTGCAGAAGGAGAAGTACAAGAGAGAGGAGATAGCCAGCAAAGGCAGGGCGTCTGTCACTGAGCCGCAAGATTCAGGTTCCTCATCAGATTCTGACTCCAAATCAGACTCCTCTTCACACTCGCCACAATCCTCCTCTTCCTCTGGGGATAAAACCCGTCCTGCCAGGCAGCTGAAGGTCAGTTATCAAACCCGATGTGGGTGTCAGTCATTATACAGCAGTGATAGAGATCTGTGAGCTGTCGTCATCGTGAATTTGACGCCATGCAGCGTCACACTGGAAGTGCTTGATTGTAGGGCTGCTCGATTATGGAA